AGCCTCTCTGCTCCTATGATGCTGCTTGGCCTGCTGTGTTCATCCAGCCCTGCACCTTGTTGTCACCAAAACAATTTAGGCAACTCAGATGTTTAACTAAACTTAACCCTGTTAGATTCAGGAGTGAAAGGTATTGGTGTAGCCCTATGGTTCACATCTTTAATGAAATACTTAAATGAGGAAACAAACATAAACAGAAATTACTTGAGAAACATTGCAGGTCTGCAGCATCTGAAGAGAATACAGAGTTAACATTATGACCAATGATCTTCACAGCCAGATCTGCTGAATTTCTCCTACTATTTCGGTTTTTGTTTGTTTCAGACCTTGAGCATCCACAGTTCTTTGTTTTATTTTACTTAAATGGCCAGTTTGATATGTACTCCAGTGCCTATAGTATGGGATTGATATATTTGTTTGTATTTTAATACATTTTCAATCCATCATTATGCTCCTTTTTATAGCCTGTTTAACATTCCCCTGTTGTTGCTGAATTTGTTTGTCTATTTTTGGTACCACATGATTGTTAAATGTTTGCATATTTTTAACTAGATGTTTTTTGTTTACTTGTAATTTTTTTTAATATAAGTTACTCTGAAAATCAGCCATTTGGATAAAGTACTATTCCTACAAAATAACATAGATATTTATTTCTATGATTCAAGGGGAGTTGGTGGTGGAATGGTAATATCATGGGACTAATAGTCCAGAGGCGAAAGCAAAATACTGTTGGTATGGAGATCTGACATAGAAACAGAAAATGCCGGAGAAACTCAGCAGTTTTTGCAGCATTAGTGTAGAAAGGAATAGGAAAATAAAAATGCTCCATCTGAACATCTTTCCAAAGCCTTGCGAGCAGCAGGCTTAGCCGCAAATTCCACATATCCTTTTCCTGACCTTTCTTTGGAGTTTCTCCAGCACTTCCTACGTTTGTAAACAATCCATCACCTCAGGCTAATACGCTCGGTGCTTGGGTTCACATCCTACCATGGCAGCTGGTGGAATTTAACTTCAGTGAATAAATCTGGAATATCAAATAGTATTGGTAACCATGACAACTATCATCAATTGTTGTAAAAACCCACCAGGTTCAGAGAATGAAATCTGCCATTCTTACCCATTCTTGCCTATGTGTGAGTCTAGACCTTCTGCAGGTGGTTGACTCTTAACTGCCCTCTAAAATGGCCTAGCAAGCCACTAATTTTAAAGGAAATGAAGGACGAGTAAAAAATGCTGGCCCTACCAGTGATACCTTCATCCCATGAAAGAATAAAGAAAAACATACACATTAAATAAACAACATATTTATATCATCTGAGGGAAGCATTGAGACTTTGGCTATGCCAATTCAATGGAGACTAGGAACTATTCATGGAACTAGAACGGTATGAACATAATTCTGGTTTATGTTACCAATGTTGCAAATGATGATCAAGAACTGATTTACTGTACTTTTGCAAACGGCATCATGTATTGTTCGATGTGAGGTCCTTCAATTTTCTCAGGAGTTTCACTGTCATCCGCAATGATTATTGTTATTTCTGGATAAAAGTTCCGTATGCTACTGATTAAGATCCGAAGCTTATGATATCTTAAGAATGTCTTTGTCACAATCGTAACCAATGAGTTGATGCTGTTGTCTGGAATAAGTATTAAAAATAAAAACTGAAATTACAAATTCCAGTCAAACATGATGAGCAATTTTTGACTTGACAAAGATCATTTAGAAATTTAATGAAAATTCAGAAATAACACAAATTAGTTTTAAACAAACAAACAAACAGACAATCCGCTGTTGGCGTAATTAATTGCCTTAAACATTGGCTAATCTTCAGCTGCTGCCTCTAATTTTCCTTTTATAGCCCAAATTTAAATAAAATTTACCTGGTCCAGGATCAAATAGCCTTGGCATTGGGGGCTGTCTGATGATGATTGGAAAAACAGCAGTATGTTCTTCAAATTGAAAATATACTTTTATAACAAAAAGAAATAAGTATAATAATTTAATAACGAGCACTGAATAAAAAATCTCTGATAAAATAATGTACAAGACTCCAAATATATAAATCAGCCCAGCCCAAACTTACTGCAGGAATAATGTACATCTGCTCCATGGGGAAGGACTCTTGGCCTGTTAATAAGGGAAGCCATCTGACACATTCACCTCTTGTACTATTGTGCTCACTTGTCATGACATTAATACAAAGCCAGGTCCAAGGCTGGTCAGTCATTTCCTTCACTATGCACCACCCCCACACTAACAGCCTCTGTCTCATTCCTCCACACTAGTTTTATTTACACCTCAGTTTGTTTGATAATGTTTGTCCCCATCTTCACACTTACCAACCACTGCAAGCTGCCAAAGATTTTAACTGTCCTTTCACTATTTTCAAAGGTGATAGGAATGGTATCCCTGGTAGAGCCCATTTCCTATAAGAAGCTGCATGAAATAACTCCATGAAGGCTGGTATCCCGGGTCACCAAATCACCATTTATTCACACATGGAGAGTCCTTGACACTGATCCAGATCCCTTAGAGCCAGCTCTTAGAGTGAACGGAACTTCTGACACTCTTGCTCTTATCTTTTAGCCAGGGCTCCCTGATTGGACCTGGTTAACAGCCCCAATCAGGGAATTCATATTCTATGAGGTCCACTTGGTTGACATTGTTACAACCATTACATCCCTCCACCTCAGAGTCTGAGAATATAGGCTGGATGTTTGCTTTGTGGCTCCTCCTGGGGCGTTTTTACACTGGGTCCAGTTCGTCCAACTCTGCCTTAGATACGGGCAGCTTGTAATGCACAGTGGCTTGCCCCTGGCGCCTGGAGTGTCTCAGAAGAAATTCATTCTCTTCTTCAGGCTCAAAGGCATCGAGGCAGTGACATCTGCTGTGTCCATCTCAGATTCCAAGGCATCTTCAAATCTTGACAGAGAGGCAGAACCCATGGGTTCTGGAGAGTCAGAAAGGCTGTTAGGAGCTGGGCACATTTTGCTCCCACATTGTTTGCGAGTTTGCAGCATCCATGTAGTCCAAGTGCTTGTACAGGACTGTCACACTTACCTGAACTTTAACATCACTGGACTTGACTTCGCGTTGACCGTGCCTCTTACTCATCCAGGGCCGTATTCATGGTTCCTAAGCCAAATTTTATCCACTGGAGTAAACTGTTTCTCTCGCTTAGTAGAGTCTTGTGTCTGGCATTCATGTTCCTGCTGCTGTTTCACCCTCCTCCCCAGGTTCAGGAAGATCGGATTTAACCCGGTGCAGAGTCTTCTCCCCATTAGAAATTCTGCTGGAGCTATCTCTGTAGTTGCATGAGGGGTGGTCCTATAATCAAATAGGAACCAGGACAGTTTGGTATCTAATAATGCTGTAGAGTGTTTCTTTAAGCCTGCCTTCAAATTATGGGCTGCTCTTTCTGCCAGACCATTGGATGATGGATAATGGAGCTGTCCTTATACGTCAAATGCTATTCGACTTTAGGAAACACTCAAATTCTCTGCTGGTAAATGATGGCCCATTATCTATGACGAACACTTCCGGGAGTCCATATGTTGCAAAAGATGTGTGCAGTTTTCTGTTGCTGTCCCTGTGATGGATGAATGAACTCTATGCATGTCCAGCACTTTGAGTGGGCGTCCAAAATGGCTAAGAACACTGAGCCCATGAACCTGCATAGTTGATGTGTAACTGAGTACAGTGTTTACCCAGCTATTCCCACGAATTTGAGGGAGCTGCTGGTGGTAATTTTTGTCCTTGTTGGCAAATTGGGCAGTGCACCACCAACGCTACTATGCCTGCAACCAATCCTGGGCACCAGATATAACTTCTCACCAACATCTTCATTTTGGAAACTCCTGGAAAGACCCTGGTGGAGTTCAGCCAGTACCTGGCAGCGATCTTTGTTCGGGGCTATCGCTCTTGCTCTCTGTAATAACATGCCATCCTCTATGGTAATCCCGTCTGTCCGGGTCCGAAAAGCTTTCAATACTGGTTGTGACAGCCCCCTTGGTTTCCCCCATCACCATGAGCTGTTTCAGTTTTGCCAGGACCGATTGCATCCCATCAAGCCTGGGCCGAAGCCTTTTACTACAGTCAGTGATAACTGAAACAACTGCTTCTAATAACAGACTGGAACCAAAGTTATACCCTTAACCTGTGAAGGTTCCCTGGCATAGGTTCTCAGTCGAGCTGAGGTCTTGTGCAAACTTGAGGGTTGCAGTCCAGAGCGAATTTTGTTAAAGCCTGATTCTGCGATCACTGAAATGGCCGCACTGGTATTGATCTCCATTAAAACTGAGTGACCATTTAATCAGACATTTATTTTGATTGGTTCTGATTTGGATGTTGCTAAACAATGTAACTGTTCTAAACCAGATATACGTGGATTTTCCAGGGTGTGCACTGTCCTGGATACCGGCCTATGAGTTTTTTTCACTCGGTTTAGGTCTAGTGGGTCTCTTTCGCTGTTTGGCGTCCACACACCAGCAACAACTACAATGGTTTGCTAGCCTGGATCCTGAAGAAAATTTTAACTGTTTGGCAGAGGCTTGGCTTTGTTTTGGTGTTTTGCTATGGGCTGACCTAGAGTCCCTCTGTTCAGGATATGCCCTGAGTGAGGCTATGCAATTGTCTTCAATCAAGTGGTGTTCCCCAAGCTCAGTCAGACTGGTGTCCACTTCCTTCAGAATACCCTGCAACTCATATGCTCCAATTGCCACATTTCCAATGATAAAGCCAGTTGTAATGCTGTTTGAAGTCCCGTTGAGCTTCAGCTAGTAGGTGCTTTTGTATGGATACATTATTAATGCCAAGTTCCAAACCTTCTCTCAACATCTCATGAAGGGTTAAATCAAAGTCACATGCCTCTGCCAGTCGTCTTAACCCCATCAAAAATCCCGAGATGGATTCACCTGGTTCTCGAATTGCTGAGTAAAACCAATAGTATCTCAGAATGAGAGGACATTTGGGCTCGTAATATTCCTTAACTAAATTCGTCGATTCTTGAAAGATTTTCATACCTCGTGCCTCAGGGAAAGTTAGGCTCCTAATAGCCGAAAAAGCCATGGGTCCACAAGCTGTCAGGAGAATTACTCGTTGCTTTTCATCTGCCCAATGTCACTGGCCCGGAAAAAATAATAAACTCTTTCACATACTGGGCCCAGTCTTTGACAGCAGAATTGAACGTGTCAAGCTTCCCAAATAATAGCATGATTCTGGGAATGCTTACCCCGACTCAAAGACGACTGTTGCGAGCGAATTTCTTCAGGAACATGCTTCTCTCTTGTGCACCTTAAATAACTCTACAGAGGCAGGCATCCCGTCACCAAGTCCCCCTTTAATTACACTGAGTCCTTGACACTGATCCAGTTCCCTCAGACCCAGCTGTCAGAGTGAACAGGATGTTGACACTCTTATACTTACCTGTCAGCCAGGGCTCCATGATTGGACTAGATTAACAGTCCCAATCAGGTAATTCATGTTCTAGGAGTTCCATCTGGCTGACCTTCATTACAATCACTGCACGACATCTCTTTAAGCTTTACTTGTCAAGATTTTCTGACAATCTTTCCTTTAATTCAAAAATTAGCAAAATTTGCATTGGAAGCTGTAAATAACTGCAGCAAAAAGCTGATTCAGAAAGTATGCTCCAGCTCTATCTTTGTATCCTGAACTTGGTAGCATTTGCCAGGAGTCAAAAATTGTTTCAGGACTCAGAGGTATTTTAAGGACAAAATAAAAATATAATATGCTTACCTAAATCAGCAGCATCAATTTGGTACTTTATGCTTGTATATGTGACATGTTTGAGTATACTATTGATGATTTCCAAACTTGGGCTTGTTATAGTCAATTCATTTTTACCTACTCCATTTAACATGCCTTCAGATGTTTCAACAATTGTATTGAATAGTCCTTGCGTAGCTTTCAGTTTGACCTTTACACAAAAAATAAATAATTTACTCATATAAATATTGGTGATTCTGCAGACTTTTTTACATCATGTCTATAGCAGTAATAAAGTAGAAATCAGGTGGAACCTTGTTGTGGCTTTAGGAGATGGGGGCCTCACAGAGCGAGAAAGGGACTCAAGCTTCTCCTTTCTGAGAAAGCCCACTGATCTACAAGCTTTTTAAGCAGTGAAAAGGTGACTGGAGGAACTTCCCCTAGAATTAAGACCCCTAGAATTAAGAATTAAGAGCTAGAATTAAGTAGTCTAAATGTCATCTACTGAGAGCCTCAGGGGAGGTTGTGATTGTTACAGTAAAGTACCTTTGGGATCCCAGGTTCATGAAGTGATCCCAATCGCAGTTAAACAACATGTGGACTAGGAAGGGGGGAAGGGGAGTAATGAAGTTTCACAGAATGCATATCTTGAGTTGTGGGTGTGAAACCTAGAGGGAAAACCCATTAAAAACTAGTAGTACCTGGAAAAGAAAGTACTAGTTTTGAAGTAAGCAAGCCGAGTTGGAGTATTATGTGCCATCAGAGACTTTTACTGGCTTTCCTTCTGGGAATGTAAGAGGATTTGTAGGAAATGCAAGGTGTGCCTCCCCCAGAACCCTTCCCAACGTCTAGTCCCACAATCAGACACTGATTATCTTTGATTGGGGGACACTCCATTTTGTGGGAGGGGAGCTTAAAAAGATGGCCACATGGTCTGAATTGTCACGCACGCTGCTTGGCAACAGGCTCAGCTACAGCTAGGTCAATCATAGCAGTGGTGGAATGAGACCTGAAATGATCATTTAAATGCCTCGATTGTGGGGTGCATTGACCAGGGACCTTCCAGCCAGAATGTAATTCAGGTAGAGGCAGGAAGGTAGCTGCATTTGGTTCACTAATATCCTATTCCATAATACTCCCATCTTACCTCCTTACCATTAATGGGAGCAGAAAACTCCACCTATAACACTATTCCCTCTTAAAGTGCGCCAACAAAAATAATTCTCTACATGTCAATGGCTGATGTTCATTAGTATCTCACATACCGTATAATTTTCTCTTCCTGAGACATGCACTCCTAAACCTAAAGCAAAGTAGATTTAAAAAGATTAATTTTGATGTGGTGAGATATAAAAGTGTATTTTTTTTAAATCAATTGAATGAAAAATGAAACTAATGCACAAAACCTGGGATGAGGATAGAATACAATGGCATGACCTCAACTCCTTGGATTGGATAGCTTAGAGGAGAATTGGGCTCTGCTATGATTATATTCTTCATGAGTGATTCAGTTCTGTAGAGAAAAAATATTCATCTCAGAACAATATAACTCTGAACACACCCTTTTTGTTGTCTTTGTCTTTAATCACCATCAATCACCAAATGTCTACTGAAAGTGTGGAATTTTTCAATGGAAGTCACAATGACACTATAAATACAATGGCAACAATTAAGAAGTTACAAGGAGACAAACAAGAAATAAATCTGAGACTGCAGGAGAAAACTACACCTTCCCAACAATCTCGTCAGAAAACAATTCCAAAGCACCTTTTCTTTACCAAGGTCATTCTCTATTAACATTTGTTTTCAGGCATACCATTTTGAAAGTTAATACATGTAGGAACAGAAGCTGCAATGACCTTCACCCATTCCTAAACAGATATTGTTTGCTGCATAAATTTGGTAACAGTCAGGTAGGTCTCTTTTTATGGCACTGCCTCCAATAACCTGCTTCTGGTCCTGAATGTGGTGCAAATACATACAAAACTGATTAAATGATACAATGCTTGTCTTTTATAAATTACCTTTTTTTATGTTGCTCATATTGTAGTCTTCTTCGTTCCTTGACTGACAAAATATCTTTCTGAATGTAAACATTTTCAAAATCATGTAAAACCATTTCTGGTTCCAAAGCTGCGCAGCTGCATTCATTTTTGCCATATGTCCTGTAGAACTCAAAAACATTTAAAGTTGAGGTTTGACAGTGCAACAGATGCTGGAAAGCCTATTTTGATCAGCAGCTAGAGTGTAGGACAGAGAACAAATCAGGACATAATGAAGACACATAAAAGAGTCAGCACATTAATCGTGGGTGACTTTAATTTTTATGTAGATTGGGAAAATCAAATTGGCGGAGGTAACCACAAGGAAGAATTCATAGAGTGCATTCAGGATAGTTTCCTAAAACAATGTGTTGTGGATCCAATCAGATATCAATATATTTTGGAACTGGTAATATGTAATGAAACAGTTTTAATAAATAATCTCAGAGCAAAGGATCCTCTAGGAAACAGTAACCATAATATAATAGATTTCAATGTTACAGAGTGAGAAACTTTGGTCAGAAACAACTGTAGTAAACTGAAATAAAGGTAATTACATCGTGATGAGGGCAAAGTTAGCTGGAATAGAATGGCAAAGGAGTTTAGCAGAAAATGTTGTTGATGAATAATGCCATTTAAGAGAGTAGTTCATGGCTTGGAAAAAGGATATATCTGAGTGAGGAAGAAGGATCCTAGGAAGGGGATAAGCCATCCATGTGTCTGGTTCCTCCCAGGCTGGAGCAGCCGCAGTATGCAATCTCTCCAAAAATCATCATTCATTGTTGCATTAGGGAGGTCACTGGTACTTTATTCCACACATTCCACCCCCTCTTGCCAGCAAAAAAAATGGAAACAGTAAATGCAGAGCTTTGTGAGGATTGCAGTTGTCACCATGGTGTAGGGAGGCATTTACTGCACAGATGTCAGTTTGCAGGCAACAAGACTATTAGGCATTTCTACCCCTCGAACATGCAACTGTGACCATGTTCATCACGAAAGTCACATGAAATGACTAAAGAAAATCAGCAATGTGATTAAACATTGCTCCAGATGTCTGGACTGCACTGGAGGAGACCTTGCGTACATGGCCACTTATAAAACCAGATATGCACAGATGTTTGCACGAACCAGTAATTAACACATGAGGAGAGGAGGAAGAACTGGAAGGGAACAGAGGGGCAAGGTAACTGATCACCACATTCTTCTTCATCTTATGGCCTGTGATGCTAAAATAAAAGCCCCTACAGAATTTATAAATCAAATGTTGTTGAGATTTTGTGTATTGCTGAAGAAGACATATTTTATTGAAGTTTTATCTTGCACACATCAGGTCAATACATAAGAATTCCAATTTAATGGGAAACCAACATTTGCACTACACAGGAGGATAGTACTGATTAGCATTCCTTCTAATTTTTGTTCCAGCAGCAAGGGTCTCTGAGGGCCATGAAATTGGCAGGGACTTTGGGAACCAGATGCCAATACTGCGATTGGCATGTTGATCTCAAACACCATGCACAGAGCCTTACTGCAGCTGATTAATCATTTAGCATTGATTCATGGGAAGTTAACTCTGATTGATAAATGTGCCATGGAGACTGCAACAGATAATGATAATTTACAATTAAATGCCTGTCTTTATAAAATTTAAACGAAGTTTATTAACTCTAATTGGTCAAATCGTTGTCCTGAGAAATAAACCAGAAAATGGCTGTCACCTATTTTGTGTGTATGTATTCTTTTTGATTGTAAAGAATAGGGCCCTGTGTATTAATGTTTGTAGATTCTAGTACTCGCAAGCTCACTTTACTTTGAGCCTGACTGAGAATCCTAAATTTGTTGTCAATATTATTGTTTGCACTCTTGAGATTATTTAGCAAATGTTGTCCAACTGCAGAATCATATGTAAGGTTAGATACTGCATTGCGCGTTTTGAAAGCATGGGCTAGTTGTGTGTGGTCAGTAAGTTGTTTGAAGTGAGAAACTGAAGGAACGTGCTGTTTGATATGATCCACCAGTCTTTAGGACATATAGCTTATACACCTGACTGTATGACAACTCTGAAATTCATGCATAACACTATTTATGAAAGGTTAATGGCTACATGGAACAGGCCCTATGGAGGGCCGAAGGGCCTGTTCCTATGCTGTAATTTTCTTTGTTCTTTGTTCTTTGAAACATTCTGTTAGTGATGAGCACCAGTCATGACGTCACAGTGTAGTAGTGGTGTGAAACAGCTAACTTTACCTATTGCTCAAACTGTTCAGATGCCTTACCCCTTTCCGAGGTAATCTGAGATAGACTGGGCACTTTTCATGAACCACCTTAGAGCCTTTCACACCAACCATACTGACAACCAATTTAAAACTGTCAGTTGGACATGCAGTGTGGTGCACTTGTGTATACTGAAAGCTAAATATAGTAGTACACAGGGACAATTTTTTTGCAAGCGGAGAGAACATATTAATGCACTGTGACTGTTTCAAATGAATAAAATAGGTGACAATGACTTGTTGGTTCATATTTAAACAAAACCTGGCAGTTAACTGTCAATCATCATTAATTGTTGTATTCTCCAGGCATTGCCTTTACTAACCAGAATCCACTTGCCAACCAATCAGCATCACCTTTGCCTGAGGTATAAATGTTTGTTTTCCTTTTGCATTGGTATTCTTGTGAATTGTTTTGATGAATGCACGATGAACAATTTTGACAAAATGTGTTTTTTCTGGCAATACCCAAGTTCTGTGCTATCAAACGGCTATTTTCTATTTTTGCTGTGTTTGTCTTAGCACTTGCACAAAGTGCTGACTTTCAGTGAGGGAGGCTTCAGACGTCCTTGCAGATGAACTTGATCATCTCTAGCTCTAGGCACAGTGACTGTGGATTGCGCCATCTCAGCGTGGTCGAAAGTAGTCTGGGAGGGCTAGTTGATAGCAAGGGCATGGGTACTGTGACAGTGGATCAATATGACATCCTGGGGAAGACAACAGAGACTTGCTTCATGGTGCCACTACCCAGGGGCAGAGTCTCAGCCATCCTAGTGTATGACAACAGATTGCTGAACTGTGGTGCCATCCTGCTAGCCCTTTGGGCAATGATGGCAGCAGACTGACATTTTCTGGTAACAAGCTGAGCTTGCCAAAGACATTCTGACCTGGTGGGTCTCTCAGCTTGGGCAGCTTTTGCTTCTGCAATGGGAGCTGAAACATTGGCCATCAGATACTGCATCTTGTAATGAGCCACTGCTTCTGTGCTGGAGAGGATGGGTTTCCAGCTGTGTACAACGTCTTGCTGTAAGTTAATGTTGGATTCCAAAATATTCCATGACAGCAACAGCAGACATCAGTTGGAATTCTGCCAATTCCTTCTCCTATATGCCAGCCCAATCGAGCTCCTGAGCTGATTGCACTACTGCAGAACCCATATGTACTTTATCTTCTGGTGAGCTGGCATCTTTGCTATGCTTATTCCTTGCCCTGTTTTCAGGTCACTTGTGCCCAGTATCTCATCATGTGCAAACCTCTCCTTTAAGCTAGACGCTAAAGTATGTCCATGCTAATATCTGATCTGAGCAAGTGATAGTGCTTCTTCACCATCAGTGCATTCCTGCTTTTCCACCTTTTCCAGCACTGTGTAGCTATTTGCAATTCTTGTGTATCTGACTAGAGTGGACAAGGGCAGGATTGTAGTGGAGAAGGTGTGAAGGAAGATGATGAGTTAGCTACTTTAGTTGAGCTGGGTGCGTGCATTGCAGATTGCACTGTTGATCAGACCTCTCTGGCAGAGCACTAAAATGAGATTAAGATCTAGAAACTGACCTACTGTGGCTGACCTACATGGAGGAAATCAAACAACTACTGAAAAGCAGGGAAAGAATTGGTGAGACTGGACATTCATTACAACTGGCTATGAGAAAGAAAAGTATATTGGGCCAACAGAGGACTAAAACTTTGATAGAGTAATCCAGGATGTAAAAACAAAAGGAACTGGAAGCTCGTAAGGAACAAAACAATAAATGCCAGGAACATCTGAACCATTTAAAACAGCTTGAGGAATAATGGTTCTCAGCTGCTAAACTGGAACAAAATGTGGCAGCATGGCGTCAGGATCGCAAATGCTGGAACAGAAACTGCAGTCTATGAAAGAAACATTTGACAACAGGAATGACAGATGATGTCACTGTGACTGTGAGCAAACAACAACACTTTCAGACAAACTCATCTTCATGAGATCAGGATGTGTCATTACCCATATATCATAGAAGTTCACAGACTCACTTAAAGTCATAGATTCCCTACAATATGGAAGCAGACCATTCAGCCCAGCAAGTCCACACTGAACCTCTGAAGAACATCCCATCCAGATGCACCCCTCTACCTTATCTCTGTAACCTGGCATTTTCCATGGCTAATCAATGTAGCCTGAACACTATGGGCAATTTAGCATGGCTAATCCACTCAACATGCACCTCTTTGGACTGTGGGAGGAAACTGGAGCACCCAGAGGAAACCCACACAGGTATGGAGAGAATGTGCAAATTCCACATTGACAGTTGCCTGAGGGTAGGATTGAACCTGGGTCCCTGGTGCTGTGAGGCAGCAATGCTAACCACTAAGCCACTGTGCTGCCCCTGTTATTGTAAGTAGTGTTCTTTTGGGAAAAGGGGTTTTTTGTAGTTTACCTTACAATTAAGAGAGTTCACTTTTGAGGACGTCACGTGCTGTCTGTATATAAAGTTGCAACTCTGCCTGGCAGTTAGTCTGCTGTGGGCCTGTAAGCTACATACATACACATGCACACACATACACATGCATGCATTCACACACATGTATATGCGTGTGCGTGCACGGACATGTACACATACACACACACACACACACACGCACAAACTTATACACATGCACGTGCACACACAAACAGAAATTGGTTGGTTATTTCAATGTTTTACAATGTTAGATAAGCTAACTCATGCAGCGTTAATCAATCCTTAATGAGTGATTGATCATTACACCATTACCAATAACATGACAGGAGGATGGAGAAGTAAGAGTTGTGTGCCTAGAACATCTCCAAATAATACATTCAAAGAAACTGTGGGATGAGGAGGATGTAGGATGTGAGAAATTATGATCATACTGTTATCTTCAATGGTTTCAGCTCTGCTGCTGCTCAAATCTTCAGCCATGGTCAATGATGGTGGACACCATTTCCTCCATGAGACGAAGGACATAGAGTTGTGCCTAATCCCAGCCACCCTCCCTCCACCTGCCTCCACAATCCTGATGAAGGATCCCAAGCCAAAACATCGACTTTCCTGCTTCTCTGATACTGCCTGACCTGCTGTGTTCCTCCAGCTCCACACTCTGTTGATTCCAGCTGTGAGTTATTTTCTCCTGCAATAAAGAAGTACGTTTGCCAGCGAGTGGTGCACATTGTATTGGGTAATACAATTGTCACACCAAATAGCTGGCAATTTGTGTAAGCTGCTGAGTGCGTGGCGGTGAGGTGATGAGGTATGAATGTGATTGATGGAGAATCTTGGTAGATGAATGATGTGGTGGTGTGCATAGAGCTGTGCGTGGGGCTTGTGCTGAGCTTTGGCACTTGAAGACACATTCTCTGACCTTGACCACTGGCATGAGGTCATTGAAATTCCTGTGGTACAGAATCCAGGCTGGGGTGAAACTCTTAGCTTGAATACCTCCACCATGTGGTCCCATTGCCCTCTTAGAATTTATTTCTTGACTTCCTTTAAGAGATGTATGTGGCTTTAATTAGTGTAGTCTACTTTAAATAGTGCTAGATAGGGTTTTTGTGGCACAGTGGTAATGTCCCTACCTCTAGATTGGGAGACCTGGGTTCAAGTCCCACCTGCTCTAGAGTTGTGTAATAACATCTATGAACATGTTGATGAGAAAAATAGGTTAAATATTGCTAGAAGGGGGCCCTCTTGTGGAGCAGTGGTAGTGTCTCTACCCCTAGAATGGGAGCTTGGGTTCAAGTCCCGCTTGCTCCAGAGATATGTAAACACATCTCTGAACAGGTGGATTAGAAAAATAGAGATATAAAAACAGTGTTAAATGGTGCTAGATTCTCACAATCATGCATAATAATGCAACATTTAGTGCGTGTAACACTAGCTGACTACATCAGAAGCAATGGATGTAGACTAATCACACATTGCTACCCTCTGCCCAATATCAGGCCTTTTCAAACTTGTGGCCATAGGCTCCAAAGATTCTTCCAATATTTTGGGAATTTACTCAATTTCCAGGTGCAAACAAAACTGAAAAGAAAGCAGGCACAAGTGGCATTGGATCTCTGCTCCATTTTATGCTGTTCAAAGATTTCCTGGGATCAATAGTGGAGAGAGGCAACCATGAAAATGAGGGAGGAGACCATTATAGGATCTTTGAACTTTAACTTGCTGCATTCTTGGTGGCCACTGGAGGGCAGTGTTGTTAGAAGATATTGGCCTCCTTTCTTGGTTTGAAGGATGGTATTAAGGACAGATCTGCCTAAAAAATTAGAGATAGTAGGAACTGCCGATGCTGGAGAATCTCAGATAAAAGGTGTAGAGCTGGATGATCACAGCAGGCCAAGCAGCATCAGAGGAGCAGGAAAGCTGACGTTTCGGGTCTAGACCCTTCTTCAGAAAATTTTCTGAATTAGTTGACTTTTTATTCCCTAGGTGCTTCAGTGGATCCCTGGCTCTGGCAGCTTCCAACTACTTTTTATATAGGAGCCTGAAGGGCCTGAAGATGGTGGCCAATCCCTCTGGTGAAGTGTACTCAGCTGACTTTCTGCTACCAATATCTTGCTACAGGACCCATCGAACAGGCTCTTTGCTAGTCCTAAAACTGGGTAGAGTGTGGGCAGAAGAAAAGTGAGGTGACAATGTCAAAGTTCTAAAACAGGATTACAAGGAAAGATGAATATCACATGAAATAAAGCTTACCAGTTCCCTCCATATGGAGACAGAAACGTTAGTTTTTCCCATGGTGTAATGTTTAAGAGCAGCTTGCTGTTGAGGTTGTTAACCGGCCTAATGGGGCGTAAATTTGTGGATGTGATAAAAATCCTGTTGATGACAACACTAAGCAGAAGTGCTTCCAGTCCAGCTAACATGAAAATCAGGCAAAACGTCTTGTACTGCATGCTGGAGGAGTTGTATGTGATTAAAATTAAAGTCATGAATTAATTACATTGAAATCAAACCATCTTAAGTATACTGAATATGTACAATATGAGCCAACCTGATAAGTCTACAGTCTATGGTAACCTTTATAAGTCACTTTAATAGTTTTCTGAAAGTTAGCATAACATTCTGTCTTATTTTTTAAGCGCTTTGTACTTTCTAATCTGATTTCTAGAGCATCAACTTCTGAATTTTCAATATCAGATTTAATCTCCAATTGTTCTAGTATTTTTACTTCACTCCCTATTTCTCTCACTACTGTAAATATAATTTCCACTTGACTGTCCTCCCTGCCATGGTATTTCCTTAACATGTTAACAAGACACACTCACTGACTTTTCCTTCTGTCTACATAATTCACATCTTTGAGTTCCTATCTTTGAACCATTCCACAGAGACAGTTAATAACATTAATGTGTCTCCAACAACAACATGTTGAGTGCTGGCCTCTCTATCAGCTTTAATTTTTATTGTTTGTTCGAGTAAATAATTTTCTCATATTTGGCTGAAGCTATATAATCTTTCAATGACTTTGCTTGTTTATCCTTTGAAAGTTGCTAGTAGATTTTTCATTCCAAATGGTATAACTTTACAACTGCTGTTGCAAAAGCTCCTATTTCCTTAGTTCCTCAGTCAATAGAATTTGCTAATTTTTTTTAGCAAGTCAAGTTTAGTGACAAATTATGTTTGTCTTT